CTCCCAGAATTCCTGAGCCAGCATAGCTGGCTCAGGAATTCTGGGAGTTGAAGTCCACGAGTCATAAAAGAGCCAAGGTTGCCTACTCCTGGTATAGAGTCTCCTGCTTGAGCCAGGGGGTTGGCCTCCAAGACCTCCAAGGTCCCTTCCAGCTCTATTCTGATTGATTGATTGATTGATTGATTGATTGATTGATTGATTGAGGGTGCTCAGGGCTGTGCTAGGGAATGTGTACAGATGGGGGAAATTTACCAGAGCTAGTTGTGTCCTCCCCTGCCAGTGTCCCCATTGACTTTCTCTCTGCCAACTTCCCACAAGGAAAACTCAATGGGGAAGCCAGCAGGAAGTCAGAAGCCATTCCTGCTTCCCCTTCCTGTGGCCACCCTGTGGATCTGTTTGGGTAAGGAACTACCTCTGAAAGGACGACCCAAAGGACCAGGGGTTATCTAGCTTTCCTCCATTTCTCTGAGATCTCTTTCTTGCCCGGTGGCAAAAGTCTTGCTGCCGGAGGCGTTTGGATTCTGGCTTTGCAGCAGCCATAAAGGTTTGGCTCAAAGCCAATCCCGCCTCTTCGCTTAATGGAGGATATACTCTTCAATTGGAGTAATTATCTCTTCCGGCGTCCACTGGTTGACTGAGGGGCCTTTCTCCCTCTCTTCCTGGCTCCTGTGAGATTCTGAACTGGGGAGTCGGGCGATGCCACGGGCACAGCTGCCTTCCGGTTCCTTGGAGCCTCCGTCGCTTGCAAAGGAAGACTTTGCGAAACCCCCTCCGCCTCTTTCTGCACTGGGGGGGGTTGATCCCATTCGGATCTCCAGGGGATTCTACGCTCCTCTGTTTCTCCCTCCCGATTGCCCATCCATAGCGCTGCCTCCTCTCCTGGACCTGGTGCTAATTTGTCCTAGATGTCTCTGGAGAGTCTCCATCATCCAGATCAGTGATGGCGAACCTTTTAGAGGTTGAGTGCCCAAAAACCGCCCCACCCCCAGCCCCCCCGCTCTGCCCCCGCTCCACCCTCTGCCCACCCTGCCCTGCCCCGCCCCACCCCGCCCACCCATAGGGCCACCCACCGCCTCCACAGCCTGCCGCAGATCGCCCAGGCGGCCCTGCAGTGGCATAGCTCCCACGCCCTCCATCCATACCCCACAGCATCATGTGCGCAATGGGGTGTGAGGGTGGAGTCTTGTCCCTGCTGCCCGGCTGCCATGACCTTGGCTGTGCTGCTCCATGCGGCCCATTCCCATGGGTGACTCTCCCCTGGGGGGGCTGCTTGTGAGGAGGAGGTCATGGGGGGAGGTGGGGTTGGGGCAACAGTACGCATGCCCACAGAGAGGGCTCTGAGCGCCGCCTCTGGCACGCGTGCCATAGGTTCGCCACCACTGATCCGGATCATGGTTGTCCCAAAGGTGCTTTTTTCTGAAAGGTAACTGGACTTTCTTGGGGTTTTTTTCCTTGAAAAAGTTTCGCTTCTCATCCAAGAAGCTTCCTCTGGCTTCGAGTGCGGGGGGCTGTGCGCTTCCTCCTGACGTCCTGCCCGAAACTCTCCCTTGTAGTGTCCACCCAGAGGTCCTGACCCTGTCCCTGGCCGGCTCTCTCGGCCCATCTTAGCTTAGTCAGAGCTGACTGCAGTTTGTTTGCTTTCAGCTCCATTGTTCTTTAGATGCGCTTTTCTCCAGAAATGTTTGTCGAAATACAATCCTTTCGGCAAAAGTTTCCAGGATTTGATTTGTTTTTAAATCTTTCTGTTCACTCTTTGGGCCTGCCGTCAGTAACCTCCCTCCCTCTTGGGCTTCCCGGCTGCACCCAGGCCTGGAGGCTGCTTGGGCCCCTCTTCTGGAGGCCACCCCCCCCAAGCCCACCCTAGACACGCAGTCTTGATCTCTTGGTGCTGAAGCAGGAATTGTGTGTCCTTGCTCAGCTGACAAACACATAGAAAATAGAATAATGAGTTGGAGGGAACCTTGGAGGTCTTCTAGCCCAAACCCATGCTCAAGCAGGAGACTCTAGACCAGGGGTAGGCAACCTTGGCTCTTTTAGGACTCGTGGACTTCAACTCCCAGAATTCCTGAGCCACCCTGGCTCAGCTTGGAAACCTTTCCCTTTCCCCTCAGCATGGCTGGCTCAGGAATTCTGGGAGTTGAAGTCCAGGAGTCCTAAAAGAGCCAAGGTTGCCTAGCCCTGCCCTAGACCAGCGTGGGGGAACTATGGCCCCCCTCATGATTTGCAGACTTCAACTCCCAGAATTCCTCAGCCAGCATGGGGGAACTAGGGCCCCCTCATGACTCGCGGACTTCAACTCCCAGAATTCCTGAGCCAGCCTGGTTCAGCTTGGAAATCTCCCCCTTTCCCCTCAGCATGGCTGGCTCAGGAATTCTGGGAGTTGAAGTCCACGAGTCCTAAAAGAGCCAAGGTTGCCTACCCCTGCCCTATGCCATTTCAGACAAATGGCTGCCCAGTCTCCTTTTGAAAGCCTCCAGTGATGGAAGACGCTTCTTCTTCTTCCTGCTTATTGCTGAGGTGGAGCAGATTCCTGCCTCTGAAACGCTGTGATTTCTGTGCAGTGATTTGTCTCCTGCTGCAGCTGCTCCTGTCCAAAGCCTCCCTCCGAAGCAAGGGGTCAGCCTGCCTGCCCCACACTTACCCCACCTACGCAACCAGGGGAGACGCAATCAATCCTCTTTATGCAGACAGCCTTCAAGGTGTTCCTGGACTCTCTTGTTCTAACAAACTCAAACTCTCTTAACGTTCAAGAAATTGTTTTTTTTTTAAATGGAGTGATTGATTATTAAGTCACTAATTATCCAACCCATCATTACAATCTCATAAATAACCTTGAATCTGATGGATAGGAAACACTGGCTGTCAAAAGGGTGCCCTGTGTTTGAGAGATTTTTCAGGATAGATAAGGTTACACACCCACCTGCGTTGATCTGTATTAATGTTATCTGCCCACGGATCTCTTTTAATGCTTATTTATGTACTTATTAGATTGATTAGCTTCACCTTCCACCTGCAGCAGGAGACAAACAGCTGCTGTGCTTGAAATGGCCTGTGGAGATTCTCTCTCCTCCGGGTCCAGGGTTGTCCCAAAGGGGCTTTTTTCAAGAGCAACTGGACTTTCTTTGTTTTTCCTTGAAAAATGTTTCGCTTCTCATCCAAGAAGCTTCTTCTTTTCTGACACTCAGCTAGAACTGAAAAAGCTTCTTGGGTGAGAAGCGAAACGTCTTCAAGGAAAAACAAAGGAAGTCCAGTTGCTCTTGAAAAAAGCCCCTTTGGGACAACCCTGGACCCGGAGGAGAGAGAATCTCCACGGGCCATTTCAAGCACAGCAGCTGTTTTAATATTGAAGTATAGCGAGAATATGTGTTTTTTTTTCTTTGTGTGTATGTTTTTTTCTTTTCTTTTCCTATTTGTGGTTTTTGTTTTGGAATGAGATGGAATTAATAATTGGAGAATTATAGTTGAATAGAAATATAGTTGAGAAATGTAGGAATTTAGTGTTGGAGCTAATATCTTTAAATAAGAGAAATTTGGGGGCCCTGAAATGGTTAAATAATTAGGCTAGCTTAAACTTAAATATTTGGAAAAATTAATAAAGTTTAAAACAGGATCTTTGGGATAGATAAGGAGCTTTCGTAAAAGATTATTGACTAATGAAATTTATATCTGGCAATATACTTAATGAAAATCTGTCTTAGAAATGTACTAATGAAATTCCAATAACTTAAATAGGAGCGTTGATTTTGATTTAAGCATTTAATTTATATATAGCGATATATTAATGAATGAATTGGCTATAGGATTGTATTAATTTGATTATTATATTGATATTGAGCGGTTGAAAGTTTTTATTGATTAGGGAAATTTATATTTAGATATATTAATGAATGAATTTATCTGAATGTTATTGATTATAATATTCTACATAGATAGAGAGGGAAGTTTTAAGAAATATTGTGTGAATTGTATACATATAATGTTATTGTTTTCTTTTTGTAATTGACCACCATATCTCCACGCGGGTTCTTAAGCTTCTGTTGGTGTAAAATGGAAAATAATAAAAATTGTTTATAAAAAAAACAAAAAAGTCCCTTTGGGTGTTGCTGTGCTGACCACTTTCCGGTACATAAAATCCAAAACTAATCAACCAGCCAGGATTCACAAAAAGCACTAAGCCTCTAATTCTGGCCTGTGACCGTAATGAAAGATGGATTGATTGATTAAGCCCCATAAAAGCCTAACTGAGGTGCGCAAGAGTCTTGAGTCTTTCACTGACCTGGCCAAGCCGGTTGGGTGGCTGTATCAATTGCTCGCCTGATCTTCAATTACCTCTTCCAGGATCCTTGGGTGAATTAAGCTACTGAGTGGTATCTGAGGTCAGTTGGCTCATAACAATTGCCTAAAATCGTCATGTTCCTTGGCAATCATTGTTAGCAAATAGCGTGGCCAGTTTCTGGCTTGTTTTGCACCCAGCACACCCCCCGTTGCAAATTGGAGCTGACTCATCTGTGGTTCAGCTCAGCTAGCAAGGAAGCGGCCCCAGGTTTATTTACTGGACAGCAGCAAAGGCCACAACAGCTTCACACCATCCACCTTGAATTGCTTGTGACGCAGGGCTGGACATGCCCAAAAGCTCAGGTCAAGGTTCATGCCACAGGAACAGGAAACAACCTCAAACACAAAAGCCCAAGAAGGTATAAAAACCCACCACTCCCAGCTACATGGGGTCAGTTTTCCCAGAGTCCCATTTCTGTCTGGCTCTGCTCTTCAATCAACTACAACATTCTTTCTAAAGCAGTCTCCATTTTGTTTATTCCCGGCTTGGACTGGACCCTGAAGATGATTTTTCTTTCAACGCCTCTGTTGACTCCGCCCCGGGATCTGCTATCTGTTGTCCTACAGGTTGATTATTTTGAAAAGAGCTGAGTTTTTACAAGGACTGAGCCTTCACGCAGACTGAGTGGGGAGGGCTCTCTTCACGGCAGTCTCTTTCCTTCCAGGAGATATTTGGCTACAAGACCCACGGCTTCCGGAGGGCCCTGTGCCTGGCTGGCTACGTCCTGTCCTGCGGAGGCCTCCTGCTTCTCTTCCACTGGAAACCCGACTGGGACGTCTGGGCCAACTGCCAGCCCTGCAGCTTGGAAGAGGCCGATGTGCTGCTGCTCAGAACCACAGTAGGTCCCTTTTATTCTCCTGAAGCCACCCGATTCTCTCCGTGTTCTGTGCAGTCCTTCCTTAGGCTTCATGTCTTCTGCCCTGGACACAGACAGGCCCTGGAGAGCCATTTCAGCTTCTCCTTCTTCAGAGGAAAGCCGTGGCTTCTGCAAGTCACAAGTATTTTGTTTGTTTGACTAAACTTTCATTCGTTGGGCCACAAGATCAGACTGCATTTGATTTATAGAAATTCAGAGATTGGGCGGGTGGGAAACTGAATCCGCCACAGCATTCAAGATTGGTGCTTTCTTCCTTATTCTGATCTAATGCTGGGTACTGGAGCCCTTCCGCCTTGCTCCTGGTCCTGGTCCTGGTCCTGATCCTCCTCCTCCTCCTCCTCCCTTTCCGAATCAAAATCAGAATCAGAATCAGAGTTGGAAGGGACCTTGTAGGTCATCTAGTCCAGCCTCCTGCCCAAACAGGAGACCCCACGCCATTTCTGACAGATGGCAGTCCAGTCTCTTCTTGAAAGCTTCCAGTGATGAAGCTCCCACAACATCTGGAGGCAACTCCTGTTTCACTGGATTGATTGTTCTCACTGTCAGAAAATTCCTCCTTATTTCTAGGTTGAATCTCTCCTTGACCAGTTTCCATCCGTTATTCCTTCTGGCCTTCAGGGGCTTTTGAAAATAGGTTGACCCCCCTCCTCTCTGTGGCAGTCCCTCAAATATTGGAAGGCTGCTATCCTGTCCCCCCTCGTCCTTCTCTTCATTAAACTAGACATCCCCAATTCCAGCAACCGTTCCTGATATGCTTTAGCCTCCAGTCCCCTGATCATCTTGGTTGCTCTTCTCTGCACTTTTCCCTACAGTTTCAACATCTTTTTTATAGTGTGGAGACCAAAATTGGTTGCAGTATTCCAAGTGTGATCTTATTAAGGCTTTATAGAGCGGTATTAGTACCTCATGTGATCTTGATTGGATCCCTCTGTTAATGCAACTCTCTAAAAGACCTTGGCATCATTTTAATGTTGTAAGTTGCCCAAAGTCACCCGTGCGGAGAGGGTGACAAATAAATTTAACAAGTAAGTAAATAGTTAAGTAAGAGGATCTAGAACCCAGTCTCTTGCTGGAGGGATCAAACCAGTCCTGCTCTAATGGAAAAACCCCTGACCGGATTTCCAGATTCAGCCAGAGCTTCTCTCCTTTTGTCTTTCCCCAGGATGAGAGCAAGAGATACACTCGGAAGCGGGTGATCTGCCTCGACTTCCGGGATCTTTTGGGCTGTGAAGAATCGGATCAGGCCTTCAGCAAAGAAAAGCACTCAGTCCTACGGAAAGCCATAAAGATGCCTGACATGAAAGTAAGCCAGGTGTTACCTGGGAGCAAGTGAGGGCTGCTGGTGTGTGTGTGTGTGTGTGTGTGTGTGTGTAAACACTACCAACAGCCTCCAAGCTTGTTCTGCTCTCCCTCCTGCTGGGCCAGTTCCATGAGGCACAGCCTGAGGCCAGAGCGAGGCGCAAGGGAGCCACCGCCACCTGTGGAAACCTTGGCAGCCCCCCACCTGGAGGCCCCTGCAGACTTTGCCTGCACCCCCTTCCCGGTTTAAGGCCTCCAGGTGCCCCACTGGCCCAGGACCCATCCAGGAAGGACACAGACTGTCCCCATGTGGCCTTGGGGGGCTGCTTCCAGAAGTCAACTCTGGACACCCTGGCATTTCCCGGTGGCACTTCCTGGTGCCCTCAGGCAGTGGGAGGTCAGCTGGGGAGGGTGAGCTGGGGGCTGACCTCCCTGCCCCCTTGACCCTGCCCCAGGCGGAGCAGAGCCCCGGGCATCCTGAGCCTGCTGCCTGTCTCCAAAGGACGAGGTCGCCCTTCTGCCCCCAGGCCTGGCTGAAGGGGGGGGGGCGAGGGGAGGCTGGCCTCCTAATGTATTTGTGATGTGTTGCTCTTATAGGGGAGATATATCCAGGTACAAAAAATACGCTATATCTGGGATTTTTCTGAGAAAGAGTTTGCCCGAGTTGGGTGAGTTTTCCACTTCTTCTTCTTCTTCAGAGGAGGAGGAGGAGGAGGAGAAGGACCGGCCGGAGGGTCCCTCCTGCCCAGCCCCCCCCCTCATGTTTCCGTGTGGCTCCTTTTCTAGGTCGCTTGAGGATGGCAACACCTGCTACCAAGTTCATCACCGATTTGGAGATGGGCTGGAAAGCAGGGAAAAGGCGCTCAGGTATGCTCCCCCTGTGCAACCAGCACACACACACACACACACACACACACACACACACAGAAAGAGAGACAGACAGACAGACAGAGAGACACACAGAGAGAGACACACAGAGAGAGAGAGAGAGAGAGAGAGAGACAGAGAGAGACACACAGAGAGAGGGACAGAGAGAGACAGAGAGAGACAGAGAGAGACAGAGACATAGAGAGAGGGACACACACACACACACAGACACACATAGAGAGAGAGACACACAGAGAGAGACACACACACAGAGACACACACACACACAGAGACAGACACACACACACACAAACACACACAGAGAGACAGAGGGAGACAGAGACACAGACAGAGACACACACACACATAGAGACACACACAGAGAGAGAGACAGAGAGAGAGAGACACACAGAGAGAGACACACACACACAGAGGCAGAGAGAGACAGAGAAGAGACAGAGACACACACACACACACACACACACAGACAGACAGAGAGAGACAGAGAGAGAGAGAAAGAGAGAGAGACAGACAGACACACACACACAGAGACAGAGAGAGACACAGAGAGACAGAGAGAGACACACACACAGAGACAGAGAGACAGAGACAGAGAGAGACAGAGACACAGAGAGAGAGACACACACACACAGAGACACACACACACACAGACAGAGAGACACAGAAAGAGAGAGAGAGAGACGAGAGAAACAGACACAGAGAGAGAGACAGAGACACAGAGAGAAAGACACAGAGAAAGAGAGACAAAGACACACACACACACAGAGAGAGAGAGACACACACACACATACACAGAGACAGAGACAGAGAGAGACACACACACACACACACACACAGAGACACACACACACAGAGAGAGACACACACAGAGACACACACACACACAGAGACAGGCAGAGAGAGACACACACAGAGAGAGAGACACACACACACATACACAGAGACAGAGACAGAGGGAGAGACACACACACACACAGAGAGAGACAGAGAAAGAGACAGAGTGAGACACAGAGAGAGAGACACACACACACACACACAGAGACAGATACACAGAGAGAGAGACAGAGAGAGAGAGATAGAGATAGAGAGAGAGACACACACACACACACACAGAGACAGATACACACAGAGAGAGACAGAGATAGATAGAGAGAGAGAGAGAGAGACAGAGAGTCAGAGAGAGACAGAGAGAGAGAGACAGAGAAAGAGACAGAGTGAGACACAGAGAGAGAGACACACACACACACACACACACACACAGAGATAGAGAGAGAGAGAGAGAGAGAGCCTTCCTCCTTATTTTCTGTTGTAATTAGGGATCCGGAGGTTGGTAAGGCTGAAGTAATCTTCACTCAAAGTTGTGACTTAAAACAACTGTAGTGTTAGAAAAGTTACCCTGTATGTTGTATATTGTTGTGTGTTGCAAATGTTGCATTTAATTTTTTTCTCAAGCATCACACATGCAAGCACACATGTAGAATTTATGGATGGACACAAGATTTTCCTCCCTCCCTCCCTTATATTTCTACTTTCTTTTATTTCTCCTCTGTCCCTTCCTTCTTCCCTCCCTTTCTTCTTCCCTTCCTTCCTTCATCCCTCCCTCCCTCCTCCCTATTTTATTTCTACTTTCCTTATTTTATTTCTATTTCTCCTGTCCCCTTCCTTCCTTCCTTCCTTCCTTCCTTCCTTCCTTCCTTCCTTCCTTCCTTCCTTCCTTCCTTCCTTCCTCCCTCCCTCCCTCCCTCCCTCCCTCCCTCCCTCCCTCTTGATGTTTTATTCGTTCAGTAAAAGCAGCCAGGAAGAGATGGAAGTGGGTGACCTTCTTCAAGGGCAGAGTGCTGCAAAGGCCCCTGTCTGTCCAGAGAGGGACCTGGGGGAAAAAAAAAAAAAAACTCCCTCGCCCTGATCTGAGTTTGGACCTTGTGTGTGTGTGTGTGTGTGGGAGGGTGTTCCTCCTTCTGAGGGGTGAACCCTTCTTCTCCTCATCTGGGCCGGCTGGGGGGGGTCCCTCTGCCCCGCCTCCCACCCGGGGCTGCTGCTGCAGCCTGAGTCAGCTCCCCCTCCTGCCTTCCAGGAGCTCCGTCTGCGGTCCCAACGCCATCGAGATTGAAATCCGCCCCGTCTGGAAGCTGCTCTTCAAAGAGGTGACTGCCCCCCGTCTCTGCCCAGTCTTTGGGGGACGACAGCCAGGAGGAGCCTCAGGGCCAAATCCTGACCTCTTGGTTCTGGGAGGTCTCAGACCAACACAAAGAGGCTGAAGAGCAGGTTCAGACCCTCCGGGGAGGGGGCTTCTCCCTCCTTCAGGGACCGGGCTATTCCTCTCCGGAAACTGAGACCTCCTTCTCCTCAAGAGCCCGGCCCTCTCTTGGGAACTGGAGAGGGATGGCGGTGCCCACTGCTTGTGGGGCCCAAGGGCAGCTCGGGGTCCCCTCAGAGCAGAGCCAGCTCAGCCGTGGGTGCTGGGCAGCAGGGGGGGGGCAGCTGAGCGAGCCCTGGCCAGGAGGCCGGAGTCCTGGGCACGGCAGATGCCCGGCAGAGGGCTGAACCCCTGGGGGCAACCAGGGCTTGGCCCAGGGCTGGCTTGCTGCTGTTCCGGGGGCAGGTCAGACCTGGCTTGCCGGGGCCTGGGCCACAGGTGCCCTGAAAGGGCCACGGGTGACTTGAGGATGCCAGCCTGCCGTGCCAACGCCACGGCTGCTCTTGCGAAGGGCGGTTGCTGCACATCTCCTCAGCGCCTGTGGGGGCTTGGAGGGCGCCCCACGGCTGCCCTGACCTCCCGCCCGTTGCTCTGCCGGCAGATCCTGAACCCCTTCTACGTCTTCCAAGCCTTCACCCTGATCCTCTGGTACACCCAGGGCTACATGGCGTATTCCTCGGCCATCATCATCCTCTCCGTCATCTCCATCGGACTCACCATCTACGACCTCCGGCAGGTCAGCTCTCCCCCCTGCCCTGGCCGCTGGACAGAGGAGGGGTGGCTGCCCCCCACCCCCCTGCTTATTTCACTTGTTCGATCAGTGCCTTGCCCCTCCCCCAGACCCTCAAGGCAATGCAGGCAGCCCCCCTCCAATTCCCCCCATCACCACCACAACCCTGTGAGGGAGGCAGGGGAGGGACTGGTCAGCGGCCGTGGTCCAGTGAGTCTCTTTCCTCTGGCTTTGTTCAGAGATGGAGTGGCCTGCTCAGGGGACTTTGCACATGCTCAGGGGACTCTGCACTTCCTGGGATGCAAAGCTGCCTTTGGGGCGATGAGCCCGACTGGATGTGGCTGGGAGGGGATCCTGCAGAGTTCTCCCCTTGGGGGTCAATGTGGGGAGGGGGGCTTCCCCCTTCTGCTTTCCCACAAGGGCCTTGCAGCAGCTGCTTTTTTTGGAGGGGGGGGAGGTGTTTTGCATTCTGGTCTTAGCTCTCTTCCCCCCAGTTTGTCATGGAGCTGAGCGAGACCCCTTTGGGCTTTTTGGGGCAGGTCAGGGAGCCCCCGGGAGCCCAATGTCCCTGCCCCCCCTCCCAGCTTGGCTGGTGATGGAAGGGGGAGCCCAGGCCCTTGTGTGGGTGCCTTGCTGATGGGGGGGGCAGAGACCGATAAGATTTGGCAAATCTGATGCCCTCCAGGACCTGGACTAGCCTTCTTTTCCCCTGGGGGGGGGGCAGGGAAGAAAGAGGCAGCCAAAGACAGAGACCTCCCAGCCCTTTAACCTTGTCTCCACCTTCCCCCCCCCCCCAGCAATCCATCAAGCTGCACAATCTGGTGAAGGAGCACAACCAGGTGCAAGTCACAGTCTGGACGAAAGGCGAAGGTGGGTGTGGTGCCCCCCTATCCCCCAATACCCCTGCCCCTCTCTTTGTCCCAGCCCAGCCCTTTATGATGACTGCTGGGCCCTTGGGGAGGGGGCTTCCACAGGGACTGCCTGGTCACACCAACAGCATGTCACGGAGGCAGAGCGCCTCCCTCTGGATGGCCAGAAGAGGCCTTCAGAGAAGACCCCCCCACCCATTTCCTTCCCAAACGACAGCAGTTCCTGGAACAGCCAACATCTCCTGGCCTCCCCCGCACACCGAAAGACTTGGAGCGAAGGGTCCAGGGGTGCATCCTTCCACCCTCTTTTTTCGCCCTCTCCAGGCAGTTCCACCATGGAGTCCCATCACCTAGTCCCGGGGGACCTCCTTCTCCTGGAAGGCCAGCGGTTCTCCCTGCCCTGCGATGCCATCCTGCTGGAGGGAAGCTGCGTGATCAACGAGGGGATGCTCACGGGTACAAGCTGGCCGGCCGGGCATCCAGGGGCCCTTCTGCTCCCCACGGCCTGTGGGTCTGGTGGGCAGGGAAAGGGGTCTGGCAGGATTCCCAAAGGAGCTTTTAAAAACGCCACTGGAGTTTCTTAGTTTTTTTTACTGAAAACATTTTGCTTCTCATCCAAGAAGCTTGTTTGGTTCTAGAACGACTTCAGAACTGAAGAGGCTTCTTGGATGAGAAGTGAAACATTTTCAAGAAAGAAAACTAGAAAGGTCCAGCTGCTTTTTGAAAAGCACCTTGGAGACAACCATGACCTGGATGACGAAGCATCTCCATAAGCACTGAGAGTCTCATAGGACAGACCCTGGGAGAGTGTGGGTGTTGTTGAAGGAAAAATCTTCATCAGGGTCCAGTCCAAACCGGGAATAAACAACATGGAGACTGCTTTAGAAAGAAGGTTGTCGTTTATTGAACAGGAGAGCCAGACAGAAAGATGGCTCTGGGGAAAAAAACGACCTCATGTAGTAGGGAGTGGAGGGTTTTTATACCTTCTTGGGCTTTTGTTTGGAGTTGTTCCTATGGCATGAATTTGACCTGAGTCTGAGTATGCCTTTCTGGTATTCTGATGGTTGTGGGTTAATCTTATTATGTCCCAAAGGTCATATCCTGCTTCCCTGGGGCTGTGGCTGATGACTCTTAGATTTTTGCTGTTGATTCTAGGGATCTTTCTTCCTAATCCCAGTTTCCTGATTCCAGTCTTTCTGACAAGATTATCACATCTGCATTTCTGCAGACCTGGTTTCTGTCTGGGGCAGAGAGACTTGGGGTGGAGGGTTCTGCCTTTAAGATCCTTTGGGGAAATATAATATTCTGCCTTTTAATATTCCCCAAAATATTTCTTTCTCTAGCGGGGGGCTTACTTCCCACAGTGTGTTGGTGTATATATGCACACAGTGTGGGGGCAGTGGGTATAAAACCCTGGCGGTCTCATGATGGGGAGGACTTGCACCAAGGGGTCACTGAGCAGCTGCGGCTATCCAACCGGGAGAGCGTTCCCAATCAGGCTGCGTCTCCCCTTTGCAAGCCGCCTCTGTCTGAGGATGTCTATCCTTGAAGGCCCTTCCTGGCCTTCTTAGCTTCACGTTTGCTTGGAGACCCACCAGCAGACGATGGCAGAAACAGAGCCAAGAAGCCCTCCCCCTGGCCCCCAACCTGTGGGTCTGGTGGGCAGAGAGAGGGGTCTTCTCTCCTGTCCCCCTCAACTCCATTCCCCATCTTTCCTTCACCTGGATCAGACTTGGGCTTGTAGCTTCCTTGGGGCAGCTGTCATGCTCCATCGGCTCCATATTGAGGAAGGGTACTGAACTGGGTGGGCTTTCCCCTGGCCTTTAGGTGAGAGCGTTCCAGTCTCAAAGACCCCCCTGCCTCACTCCGACAACACCCTGCCCTGGAAGGTGTATGGGATGGGCGATTATCGGCGACACGTCCTCTTCTGTGGCACGGAGGTGATCCAGACCAGACGGGCAGGACCAGGGCCTGTCCGGGCGGTTGTGCTGCAAACAGGTGAGTGCAGAACCACCTTGGAGAAGGCTCAGGTGGTGGGGGTCCCTGACAGCTCCTTTGTGCACAGGTAGGATGGGGTGAAGTAGATGCCACCCCCAGATGGAAGGGATATTCAGTGCTCAAACGTGAGCATGTAAAGAGAACCATCGTGGGCAGTTATGATAACATTATGACCTGTGGACTACAATTCCCAGAATTCCTGAGCCAGCTATGCTGGCTCAGGAATTCTGGGAGTTGTAGTCCACAGGTTGTAAAATTGCTATAGTGAAGCAGAGTAAAAGACTCCTGGACTTTACTATTTACATTCACAACATTCTTGATTACAGATCCAGTTGGCCTTGAAGCTCTCGAGTAGAGGTTAAATCATGACTTTCACTCCCAATTTATTGGTGAAGCCTGCTCCTTAAAAATTCAGAACTCTAACATTTTTCAGTTAAGGAGCAGGATGGAAATGTGGGCACCTGATCTACCTGCTGGCCAGTCATTTTCAGGTGTTGGTAATCCATCCCACCTCCAAAAACCCCCAGACATCTGTCAAGAAGTGGTTGTCCAGTCTCTTCTTAAAAATGTTCAGTGTTGGAGCATCCACAGCTTCTGGAGGCAACTTCTATTCCACTGGTTGATCGTCCTCCTTGTCAGGAAATTCCTCCTTAGTTCCAGGTTGCTTCTCTCCTGGATTAGTTTCCATCCGTTGCTTCTTGTCCGGCCCTCAGGCGCTTTGGAGAATAGCTGGACCCCCTTTTCTTTGGGGCAGCCCCTCAAATACTGGAACACTTCCATCATGTCCCCCCTAGTTCTCCTTTTCTCTAGACTGGCCAAACCCAATTCCTGCAGCCGTTCTTCATATGTTTTAGTGTCCAGGCCTTTAATCAATTAAACTTAATTAAACTTTGAGGCTGTCTTTGCCCCCAGGCAGTTTAGACAAATGTTGATCAACTGAAGTTCTAGTACCACTTTACAAGGCCTTAGTAAGGCCACACTTGGAATTCGACATCCAGTTTTGATCCCCACGATATAAAAAAGACATTGAGACTCTAGAAAGAGTGCAGAGAAGAGCAACAAAGATGATCAGGAATCTGGAGGCTAAAATGTACGAAGAACGGTTGCAGGAATTGGGTATGTCTACTTTAATGAAAAAAAGGACTATTTGAGGGGCTGCCACAAAGAAAAGGTGGGGTTGACCTATTGTCCAAAGTGCCTGAAGGCAGGACAAGAAACAACGGGTGGAAACTAATCAAGGAGAGAAGCAACCTGGAGGAATTTCCTGATAGAACAATTAACCAGTGGAACTGCTTGCTTTCAGAAGTTGTGTGTACTCAATTGCTGGAGATTTTTAGGAAGAGATTGTACAACCATTTGTCTGAAATGGTATAGGGTTTCCTGCCTGAGCGGGGGGTTGGATTAGATGACCTCCAAGGTCCCTTCCAACTTTATTATTATTGTTGTTGTTGTTGTTGTTATTGTTATTGTTGTTGTTGTTGTTGTTATTATTATTATTATTATTATTATTATTATTATTATTATTATTAACCATTCATCTGAAAAGGTGTAGGACAGTGGTGGCGAACCTATGGCACGGGTGCCAGAGACGGCACTCAGAGCCCTCTCTGTGGGCACGCGCACTGTCGCCCCAGTCCTAGGCCTTCAGCTGGGTTTTATAAAACCTTTTCACTTTAGGCCTCTGCCACCGTGTACAAAAAAAAAAGGTTCAATCAATCAGACAATTTCAACTTCTCGCGGGGAAAAAAAGATCTTGCAAAGTTGGAATTGATTGATTGAACTTTTTAGTCCCATCCAGTCTGCTGTTATCACCGCAGCCACGCCCACCCAATGGGCCACGCCCACCCAATGGGCCACATCCACCTGGCACCCGACGATTCATAAGTGGGTTTTGGGTTGCAGTTTGGGCACTCAGTCTCTAAAAGGTTCGCCATCACTGTGTAGGATCTCCAGCTTGAGAGGGGAGAGGGGGTTGGACTAGAGGACCTCCAAGGACCCTTCCAACTCTGTTTTTCTGTTACTCCCCTTACTGGCTGCCTCTTTCCCCGCAGGGTTCAACACCGCCAAGGGGGAGCTGGTGAGGTCCATCCTGTACCCAAAGCCAATGAACTTCCGGCTCTACCAAGAAGCCTTCCAGTTCATCGTGGGCCTGGCTGTGATTGGGATCCTGGGGATGATCTACGCCATCTGTGTGTACGTGATCCAGGAGGTGGGTCCCAGAAACAGCAAAACTTCACGGGCAAGCAGGAGACCCAAGGCTGCCATTGCTGCTAGTGGCGGTCTCTGTCTGGCTGGGCTCTGCTGCAGCCTGTCCGGGCACACAAAACGAGAAAAGAGCTCAAGGCAACAGCAAACAGCAGACAATAAAGTTATTGTTCTGTTCTGTTCTGTTCTGTTCTGTTCTGTTCTGTTCTATTCTATTCTATTCTATTCTATTCTATTCTATTCTATTCTATTCTATATTTCTATTCTATTCTATATTTCTATTCTCTTCTCTTCTGTTCTCTTCTGTTCTCTTCTGTTCTCTTCTCTTCTCTTCTCTTCTCTTCTCTTCTCTTCTCTTTACACACTTACGGTCGTTGCAGCATCCAGCTGGTCATGTGATCGAAATTGAGGCACTTGGCAACTGACTCACAGTTATGACGGTCGCAGTGTCCCTAGGGTCACGTGATCCCCTTTTTGCCACCTTCTGACCAGCAAAGTCAATGGGGGGAAGCCGGATTCACTTAACAACCGTGTTGCTAATTTAACAACTGCAGTGATTCGCTTAACAACGGTGGCAAGAATGGTCGCAAAATGGGGCAAACCCCGCTTAACAACGGTCTCGCTGAGCAACAGAAATTTTGGGCTCAGTTGTGGTCGTAAGACGAGGATGGCCTATAACAGCCTCTTTCCCGAAGTCGTTCCTTGCTTCCAACCCATCTTGGAAAGAGAGTCCCCCCCGGCACTGCCAATCATCCACTCCCCCCCATCAGGGCCGCCTTCCTGGTGGGGAGGGAGCTGAGTCCCCTCGACAGGCTCCCTGGCTGCGTCTGCCCGCATCCACCCACCTTGTGTCCTTTCCCAGCAATCCTCCTCGGACACCGTGGCCATGGCCCTCCTGCTGCTGACCGTCCCCGTCCCCCCGATCATCCCGGCAGCCCTGACCACCAGCATCGTCTACGCCCAGCGGAGGTTGACCAAGAGGAAGATTTTCTGCATCAGTCCCCAGAGGATCAACATCTGTGGCCAGATCAACCTGGTCTGCTTTGATAAGGTGCGGCCGTGTGGTTGTGTGTGTGCGTGGGTGCAGGGCGGGAGTGAGTGAGTGGAAAGCTCCCACGGGGGAGGCTGGGCTGGCTTCTGGGGGGGTGGGGGCTATTCCAGGTCTGATGAAAGCCCTCAGTACACAGTAGCTGCCCTTGGCAAGGACTCAAGAGCAATTAATCGGTGGAACGGAAGTCGCCTCCAGACGTTGGGGCTGCTCCATCGCTGGAGGCTTTTAAGGAGAGACTGGACAGCCACTTGTCTGAAATGGTAGAGCTTCTGCTGCTTGAGCTGGGGGCTGGACTAGACGACCTCCAAGGTCCCTTCGAACTTTGTTGTTCTGTAATCCCAGATCAATTGATCAGGGGAACAGCTTCTCCCCAGAGGTTGTGGGTGCTCCATCAACAGAAGAGACTGGACAGCCATTTGTCTGAAATGGTCTATATAGGGTCTCCTGCTCGAGCCGGGGGTTGGACTAGATGACCTCCAAGCTCCCTTCCAGCTCTGTTATCCATCTTTCACTTCCACCCTGCAGAATTCTCTTTTCTTCAGACCTGTCCCCCCCCCTCTTGCCCTTGGCTTCCATCCACGAGTGGAAATATTGGTCAGCCTTCAGCCAGGGATGATGTACTGTATGTTTAGAGTTGGCTTTATACGGGTCCACATTTTTCTTTATATTTTTTTTTCTTGTTGTTGCGTTTGTAATTTTTTTACTTTGGTTTTTTTTGTTTTCGTCTTCTTGTACTTTTTTAAAAAAAACATTTTATCTTTGAAAGAAGTAAAAAGTCATCGAAACAAGCCAACGGAGGGGCAGCTGTGCCTGCAGCCTGCCCTGGTGGGGCCTAATCCTGGCACTTTCTTTCACCCAGACAGGCACCCTGACCGAGGATGGGCTGGACCTCTGGGGAGCCCTTCCTTGCCAGAACCAGAGGTAAGAAAGATGGGGTGGAGTTTGATCTGGGCTTAAAGACGGCAAGAAAAGGGGGAAGATTGCCCCCCTTCCTTGGCCCTGCCAGGCAATGAAGCCTGGCGTTGTCCTGCCGGCTGCCCAGGGGACTGGCAGGGCCCACCTCTGCCCAAGGAGCCAGCTGGGAAACTGCCCTCCTTCTGCCCTGCTCCCAGGTGAGCCCCCGCTGACCCCCACCTCCCCCTCAGCTTCCAGAGCACGCACAGCTTCTTGGGGTCCCCCTTGCCCTGGGGGCCCCTCTGCAGAGCCATGGCGAGCTGCCATTCCCTCCTGCTGCTGGAGGGGAAGATCCAGGGAGACCCGCTGGACCTGAAGATGTTCGAAGGCACAAACTGGGTGAGCACGATTCCGCTCTAGCTGCTCCTGACGCTGGAGGTTCTCCAGCTCTGGTGGGGGAATTTTGGGAAGGGGAAGAAGCTGCCCTCCTCCTTGAACCCCCGCCCCCCCACTCCAGCTCCACTGGCTGCAGGGGGCACCTCCAGAGACCTTTCTGCCAGCGTCGTTCCTTGCCCTGTTTCGGGATGGCACGGAGGGGTTGGCAAGACAGCCAGCCTCCCCTTTCAGCAGCAGGTGGCCTGCTGGGTTCTGGGCTCCCTGTATAGTGGGAAGGGGTTATTATGGGATGGAAAGAAGCTTCCCAGGAAGGGAGCAAGTGAGTCCCCACACCGTGAATCTTCAGAAGGTTTTTTTGGCTGGAGAAATTCCTTTGGGGCCTCTCTTTGACCCATCAGCTGCAGATGCTGCAGTTTGGCTAAGCTCTGAGGATAGGAAGGGGAGGGCTGGAATTCCAGCTGTTTGCTCCAGGGACTGGGGAGATCCCTGGCCAATCTAGGTTGGGTTACCTAGTTTGGTAATAAACTAGGTTACCTAGTTTGGTAATAAACATCTGCAAGAAAACCACCAAGCTCAGAGACCACCTCCTCCTCCTGCTCCTCCTCCCTCCTTCTGGCACTGATGATGTTCCCTAGTTGGGTCATGAAAGGCCTGGAAGAAAACAACCCAGCTGAGAGCACCAAGGACCCCACCTCCTCCTCCTCCCTTCTGGCACTATGTTGGGTCGTGAAAGTCCTGCAAGAAAACCACCAAGCTTAGAGACCAGCAAAGACCCCTCCTCCTCCTCCTCCTCCTCCTCCTCCAACACCCCTCCCTTCTAGCACTGAAGTCCACAAGTCACCAAAGGGCCAGGTGTGAAGACCCCTGTTCTAATGCTTCTGATGCTCTTTCTCACGCCAGGAAATGGAGGAGCACCAGCCGGACAAAAGCAGAACCAACTTCCCCGAATCCTGCCTCCTTGTGAAGCCCGGATCTGCTGCTCCCCCAGTAAGCCAGTTCTCGGGCCCTGCTTTGTCCCAGGAGGAAGCGGGGCTGGCAAATGAAAATGCACGGTGGAAAATCAGGGGTGGGAATTCTCTGTCCGTGAAAGCTTGGGAAAAAAAAAATTAAGCTGGCAACAAGCCAGCCAGAACGGATTCGCCTTTGGGGACCATTTTCTGCCCAGATGCAAGCAGGTGGCAAAAAAGTAGAAGGACCGTCTGAGCATTCAAGCAATTATGGCATTATTATTTAATCCTTTTACTTATTTAAGCCAGCAGTCAGGGGCGCCTCCCACTGGCTTCTAACTGCTGCCAACTTGCTGGTGGGCCACAAGCGGGATCTCGGAGGCAGGGAGAGTCCCTCCCTTCAAGTAGTCTAGATTTACAGCAGTGGCCAAAATTGTGGAAATCTTTTGGGAAAAGTGTATTTTTGAGGTTGGATGGCTAATAACACCACTTTTATTTTGGAGTAACACCATAAAAGTATATATCAATGGAAAGATAATTTAATCAAGAATCTAATGCCACAAAGTGTGTTCAATTATCTGTATTCTAGGAAAAGTTATAGCCAAATAACAAGAAAAAGGAAGCACAACTTGCTTAGGTTGATATCAGGTAGCTTTCCTTCATCCGATTGTAGCCAATGAGCAGGAGTGTTTAGAGACCCAATCAGGTGTCATCAGATCACAGTAGGATTCAGTTATTGATGTCACATATTGAAGCTGAGAGGAGGACATTTGTCAATATGTTATGTGATTGCCATCATGTTGGCTGGGGTTTTTTTGCATTCTTTCATTTAGTGAGCTTGTAAAACGTAATAAAATTAAAGTCATGGTGCAGAGTCGACTGGTCGCCCAGAAAGCGATGTAAAATAGTATTTATTAAATGAACAAGGCTACAGTTATAAAGAAATTAGAAGAAAAATGGGTGGAAACTTAACCAAAGGTGGCATTTCTACCGTACATTTTTCCCAAAAGGCTTCCACAATTTTGGCCACTACGGTAGAGCTTTACAGCTTTAAAAGTCAGATTAATATCTGAATGGCATCGGAGGGCGTGCTGGTGCCCATGCCACGGAGCCTCCTTTTGTAGTGGTGAGCCAGGATTTTAGCTTTGGAGGGAGCAAAGCCCTCCCCATTTTTAGATGAAAGCTCTCCCTCATCAGATCTCCCACCCCATAATAGTTACACCTTTTCTAGCTTTAAAAGTTGGGTGCCCTCCTCCTCCTCCCGCCCATGTTGTCTCTGAGCACCAGTTCATGGGTTCAGCCTCCTGCTGAGTGCTGGGCGGGAGGGACCGGATCAGCAATATGCGGTGCATTAGAGGCCCCTCCGTTCAATGAATATTTGAAGTGACAACTGCACTGACAAAAGCGACTCAGGGGGGGAAGCAGGATTCGCTTAAGGACTGCCTGGTTCACTTAACAGCTCGCTTCTTTGTTTCTTCTGTCTCCTGCTCCTCGGGGTGATTCCCAACTCTGCTTCCCTCCCCTCCCCCCAGGCCCCCGTGGAAGGGATCCTAATCCTGCATCAGTTCCCCTTTTCGTCCTCCTTGCTGAGAATGTCGGTCATCACGCAGGAGCTGGGGAAGAGCGACTTCGAACTCTACATGAAGGGAGCCCCGGAGACGGTGGCCGGCTTTTGTGAAGAGAGGACGGGTAAGGGACAAAGAACCAGCAGCCTCTGGTCAAGGAGGGGTCCGGCCTCCATGTTCAGCCATGTTTGTGTGTGTACTTTTGGAGCTGACCAGATGGGGTTGCAGCCTTGAGGAGACTTAGGAATAACAATTAGACTTATATACTGCCCCACAGTGCTTTACAGACCACTCTGAGCAGTTTACAGAGTCAGCCTCTTTCCCCCAACAATCTGAGTCCTCATTTTACCCACCCCAGAAGGATGGAAGACTGAGTCAACCTTGAGCTGGTGAGAATCGAACTGCTGGCTGTGAGCAGAGTTAGCCTGCAATGCTGCATTCTAACTACTGCGCCACCACAGAAGGAAGGAAGATGTCAACGCTGCTAATATTGAATATTCTTGCTTTGACAAAATATGCAGAACTGTCTGGTACTTTTAGAGTTAATTTAGATGAGAATGAGAGAGGAGAGAAAAGCAACGGAAGAGAAAAGCAACGGAAGATGTGAATCATGACCCCAAAATAGGGGAGGGGAAATGCCTGGAATGTTATGTGCAAAGGAAGGGAAATTCAGATCTTGGCATTCTCCATGCCGTGCTGATACTCCTTTACACTAATAAAGGCTTTTTAGGTTAAAAAATGCCTGAAAGTTCTTTGAAGTGTTTCATTAGTCAGACACATGACAGAAGGGAAGGAAGGAAGGAAGGAAGGAAGGAAGGAAGGAAGGAAGGAAGGAAGGAAGGAAGAGCAATATCACTTAGACTTATATACCACTTCATAGTGCTTTATAGCCCTCTTCAAGCAGTTGGGTGACTATCTTCACCTCGCTGACCACAGACTGCCTCTCTTTTCCAGTTCCAACCATCTTCCAAGCGGAGCTGAAACACTTCACAACTCAGGGCTTCCGAGTCATCGGCCTGGCCCACAAGAAGCTTGATCTTCCCCAAGGGGTGGTCTTCAGTGACCTGAAGAGGTAAGCACGCAGAGGGGCAGCTGCAGCCCTCTCTGGCCTCCTTTGCGGAGGGACTTCGGAGCAACAGGACAAGATTCAACTCTTGAGCTCATAGGTTCATATTCTCATTTCTCCAAATTTTAGCTCTGTCAAAAGCTTGTGTTCCAGGCAACTGGAGAGGAGTAGTAGAACATAGAACATAGCATCATGAGGTTCAAAGGGACCTTAGAGGTCTTCTAGTCCAGGAGACCCTAGACCAGGAGTAGGCAACCTTGGCTCTTTTATGACTCATGGACTTCAACTCCCAGAATTCCTGAGCCAGCACAGCTGGCTCAGGAATTCTGGGAGTTGAAGTCCATGAGTCATAAAAGAGCCAAGGTTGCCTAGCCCTGCCCTAGACCATTCTGGACAAATGGCTGTCGGGTGTCTTCTTGGAAACCTTCAGTGTAAGTGATGAGAAGGAAATATTTGCAAATCTCTCAGTCCCAGCACCCAACTGGGCATCTCTGGAGCACACATACCCACAACCACCCCATTATATTCCTCTACCTCTACATTAAAAAATTCCAACTTTTGGGAACTTTTGGAGCTGAATCTCCTTGCCGTATCTTCGAAGGAAAAGGTCCCCCAATAAAACATGACCCAGAGCAGCCCACACGGTGAGAACAATCAATCAGTGGAACGACTTCTCTCCAGAAGTGGTGACTGCTCCATCACTGGAAGTTTTTAAGGAGAGGTTGGACAACCACTTGTCTAAAAGGGTAGAGGGTCTCCTACTTGAGCAGGAGGCTGGACTACAAGACCTCCATGGTCCCTTCCAACTCTGTTATTCTGTATTCTATTCTGGAGAAGTACTAACTCGTAGAAAACCATTCAAGATCCAATCTAGAACTAAGGAGAAATTTCCTGACAGCGAGGACGATTAATCAGTGGAACAGAAGTTGCCTCCAGAAGTTGTGGGTGCTCCATCACTGGAGGTCTTGAAGAAGAGACTGGACTGTCATTTGTCCAGAATGGTATAAGGTTCCTGCTTGAGCAGGGGGTTGGACTGGAAGACCTCCAAGGTCCCTTCCAACTCTATTATTATGATGTATTGAAGGGTGTGAGCTTAAAGGGACTCCAGAAGATGGTAGAGGACAGGAAGGCCTGGAGGAACGTTGTCCATGGGGTCGCGATGGGTCGGACACGACTTTGCAACTAACAACAACATTGAGGGGTTGGACTAGAAGACCTCCAAGATCCTTCCAACTCTGTTATTCTACATTCTGTAAGCTGAGGACAACCTACTCTTCCCTGCCTCTCCTCACAGGGAGGAGGTGGAATCCGGCCTGACCTTCCTGGGCCTGCTGGTCATGGAGAACCGCCTGAAAAGTGAGACCAAGCCTGTCCTGCAGGAGCTCAGCCAGGCCCGCATCCGGAGCGTGATGGTCACAGGTGTGTTGGGAGGGAGAGCCCTCAGCTAGAACGGTTGTGTGTTTGTGTGTGTGCTCAGTCCTTGTACAGCAGCTGAGGGGGCTCAGTGGATTGCCGAAGTCGGGGTGGGCAACCTTGGCTCTTTTATGACTGGTGGACTTCAACTCCCAGAATTCCTGAGCCAGCCTGGCTCAGCTTGGAAACCTTTCCCTTTCCCCTCAGCACAGCTGGCTCAGGAATTCTGGGAGTTGAAGTCCACCAGTCATAAAAGAGCCAAGGTTGCCCACCCCTGGCCCAAGTAGTCATCTACAGTCTTTTGAACTCGTCCCTCCTTGCCTTCTGGAGCAGGAACAGGTAGAGGCTGCCAGCATCTTATCACATTGAGGGTTTCCCAGGAGTCTCCCCCATTCCAGGCGCTGCTTCGGTCCAGTGGCCTCAGAACCACCTGCTAGTCATTACTTCTCCCCTCAGCCACCAACCCCCCCCACCCTTTTTTCTTCCTTCCTTTAACAGCTCCAACTCTGTGGGCTGATTCCAGAAGTGACATGATGCTTCCTAGACCTTTCCCACTTTCCTTGACCTCTCAAACTGGAAGTGCAGCTCTCGGGGTTTATGTCGCAGCAGATAATTGGGGGTCCTTGAGGCCACGGTGGGAAGGGGCTGCTTTGGACCTTACCAGATCTCTTTTGACCTGGGCTGCCATGGAGAAATGCTGGAATCCTGGCCCACATTTAGATACTCAGACTCACATCTCAAACCTCCTGGTTATTTTAAAAAGGATTTGGGCTTTTGAGCGGTCCTTGGTGACCTCTGAGCTTGGTGGTGGGTTGCAGCACTGATAATGCTACCTAGTTTAGGTCATGAAACCTCTGGAAGAAAACAACCAAGTGCAGAGAAGACCAAGGACTCCAGAGTCGGTGTCCTCCTCCTCCTCCTCCTCCTCCTCCTCCACCTCCCCTTCTAACAATGAAGATGTTACCTAGTTTGGGCGATGAAACATCTGCAAGAAAACCCACCAAGCTCAGAGACCACCAAGGAGCCCTCATTTCGACCTTGAGCTGCAAATATTCTCCTTTATTGGTACTTCGGGAGAGTCTGTCCATCAGGCTTCAGATGTGCTGATGATGGTGGTGAGGAACATATTTTGTTTTGAAGGCTGCCCCCTCCCCCTCATCTCAGCCTCCCTTGTCCCCAGGCGACAACCTCCAGACAGCCATCACTGTGGCCAGGAACTCTGGGATGCTGCCGAGCACCAGCCAGGTGGTCCTGGTGGATGCCCAGGAGCCGGAGGATTCCTGCCCAGCATCCGTGACTTGGCAGCTGGTGGAGGAGGAGGAGGAGGCGCCCTTAATCATGGGCAAAGACAAGGTATGGCAACTGCCCCAGAGAAGAGGTGGCCCAGGAAGGTGAGCAGGAAGGGCTTGGAAGAAGAGGAAGTCGTTGTTTGTAGGCGAGGAGAGGACCAGGCTGGCCACGTTCCTCATCACCTTCTTACGAGAAGACCATGCTGGTCCCTCTAGCCCAGGTTTCATAGACTCAAACTGAAGAGAGTATCAGGCTCCAAAACCAAGAAAGACCCCTTGTGATGTCTCTAGACAGAATCTTGCCAGGCTAAAGCATGCTAACCTCCCTATAAGGCATACACTCTGGAAACTGTTAGGGAGGAGCCGTCTTCACCCTTTTCTCCCACACAAACTCTCTGAGCTGAGTTATCTCTTGCTCCTCCCTCCTGGGGATCCACCTCATCACTATGTTTCATCACAAGTCTTGCTTTCAGAGGGGGGAGGAGGCAGAGCCCCTGCCCCTATGACGTGGGGAGGGGGAGGCATGGGTGGGGGGGAGAGAAGATTCAGGCAGCAGCTGGCCAGTTTGAAATGGGATTTCTCGGAGGGAGCAGAGAGCAAGTTCCTTTGACCATCTTGGGACAATTCCAGTCATCATTAATTGACTCAGTCGTTAATGCCTTTCATTTCCACGACCCCCACAGAAGTGGGGCTGGATGGTAATTGAAGTCTGATTTTCAGGACCCCCATATTACCCTAGAGGACCCCGGTACAGAAGAGGGGGGCGACCGCTTCCACTTTGTCTTGAGTGGGGCGTCTTACCAGGTCCTGGTCAAGCACTTCAGCAGCCTGCTGCCCAAGGTGAGTGGGGAGGCGGGGGCTCCTCAATGTGGGCCCTGAGCCCAGAGTCAGCTCCCTTTTCATTTTGATTTGCCTCCCTTCCCTTCCGTGGCCTCAGAGCCCACCTGCCTCCCTGTCCTCCTGGGCCCCTTTCCGGCCAGTTTGGGGACTGTGGCCTCTTTCTTTCCGCAGGTACTTCTGAATGGAACGATCTTCGCCCGGATGTCTCCAGCGCAGAAGTCCAGCCTCGTGGAAGAGTTTCAGAAACTCGAGTGGGTCCCTTCTCGTGATCCAGGGAGAAGGGGAGAGGGGCTGAGCTGGTGTCCTCCCTCCCCTTCTTGGGGACCACCCCCACTGCTGTTCCTGGGCTTAGCTAGCCTCCGAGTGCTGACTTCTGATGACCTCTTGGGGACTCTTTTTTCTGACCGCTGCCCAAAAGGCTGCTGTAAAACTGTCTCCTGGGTCAGCCCTGCCCTTCCCCCCCAAAAGTAGCCCCAAGTCACAGCAATGATGTGCAAGCAAGGGAAGGAAATGGAGGGTCCCTCTGCCCGGTAAAAAAAACACAAGAGCCCCGTGGAAGGGCCTCCTGGCCACGCCAGAGGGCAGAGAGGAGCCGTGGAAGGAGCAAAATGGCTGCCTGCCCAGGCTATGTGCTGCAGAAAACACGGACCTCCCTGGACCCCTGGATGTGGGGCAGCCCCATTTTCAGCTTGAGGGAAGGCATGGGAGGTGCATGTGGCAGGAAACCACCTGGGTGTCTCTCTGTGCCCAGAGAGATTGAGTAACCATTGGCTTCTTCTCCTTCTCCTTCTCCTTCTCCTTTTCTCTTTCTCCTCCTCCTCCCCCTCTCCTTTTCTCTTTCTCCTTCTCCTTCTCCTCCTCTTCTCTTTCTCCTTCTCTTTCTCCTTCTCCTTCTCCTCCTCCTTTTCTCTTTCTCCTTCTCCTTCTCCTCCTCCTCCCTCTCCTTTTCTCTTTCTCCTTCTCCTTCTCCTCCTCCTCTTCTCTTTCTCCTTCTCCTCCTCCTCCTCCTCTTCTCTTTCTCCTTCTCCTTCTCCTCCTCCTTTTTTCTTTCTCTTTCTCCTTCTCCTCCTCCTCCTCCTCCCTCTCTTCTCTTTCTCCTTCTTCTTCTTCTTCTTCTCCTCCTCCTCCTCCTCCTCCTCCTCCTCCTCCTCCTCCTCCTCCTCCTCCTCTTTTCTTTCTTTTCCCAGTTACTACGTTGCCATGTGTGGAGATGGAGCCAATGACTGTGGGGTAGGTGAAAACTCCAGGGTCTCAGGGAGGGAGGGGGTTAGGGTTTCCCGTACAGGCTACCACCCTGCCCATCCCGTTCCCCCAAATGGGAGGAATCCAGGCAAAAATAGCTGGTAGAAACCCTCACCTTTCCAGAGAGGACTTGGAACTCCCTCCCTTTTCAAAACCCCCAATTCCTCACAGAGGGACCTGCTGCTTCTTTCCAGGCCCTGAAAATGGCCCACGCCGGGATCTCTCTTTCTGAGCAGGAGGCATCGGTGGCTTCCCCCTTCACGTCCCAAATCCCCAACATTGAGTGTGTGCCAGCCCTGATAAGGTACGTGGGGTCTCCACAGTTGCCACTGGAGGCTTTCGAGCAGAGATTGGACAGCCGCTTATCCAGAATGGCAAAGGGCGTCTCCTTACTTGAGCCAGGAGTTGGGNTTCTTCTTCTTCTTCTTCTTCTTCTTCTTCTTCTTCTTCTTCTTCTTCTTCTTCTTCTTCTTCTTCTTCTTCTTCTTCTTCTTCTTCTTCTTCTTCTTCTTCTTCTTCTTCTTCTTCTTCTTCTTCTTCTTCTTCTTCTTCTTCTTCTTCTTCTTCTCCTTCTCCTCCTCCTCCTCCTCCTCCTCCTCCTCCTCCTCCTTCTTCTTCTTCTTCTTCTTCCTCCTCCTCCTCCTCCTCCTCCTCCCCCTCCTCTTCACACACCCATCCCATTCTAGCACTGATAACATTACCTGGTTGGGTCATGAAACATCTGCAAGAAAACCACCAGGCTCGGAGAGCACCAAGGACTCCTCTTTTCAACCCTGAGCTACAAAGATTCTTTTTTATTGGACTTCTTCTCTTTCTGGGTTGAAACGTTTTGCTGTAGCAAAACATTTCATAACAAAAAGAAAGGAAATCCAGTTGCCTTGACTCAGTTTCCAGGCCGTGGCTTCTCGAGGACCACCCGGGCATCTTCACAGGTTCAGCCCTGCTGGGTCTGGTCGGGTTTTAAAGTGCTGCAACTTTGCCCAAGCTGAGAAGATCCAACATGGGGTGAGGGATGCCCCGTGCCCTGGAAAAGCCGGGAAAGCTCGAAAAAGGGTCAGTTTCCAGAGGCATCTTGGTGGGCTGTCCATTTCCGTGCCAGAAAAATAATTGGGGGTTCCAAATTGGGGCTGTGCAGGAATAAATAAAAACGAAATCCAGACCACTGTGAGGAAAGAATAATTATTTATTCCCAAAAGCCTGTGGGGGCAGCTCCAGAGAAATGGGGTACAGAGAGATTGTTCTATAGGGGAGATTGTCCTGGGTGTGGAATTCGGTTCAGTGTTGTCCACATCGCATGTGGGGGGGGGGGCTGGTCACATCCAAGGCAAAGTTCAACATGGGGAGGGGGGGGCAGTTTTCTATCTAACGTTATTTCCACGTGTTGCGTATGTTAAAATAATCTTTTTTTTTTATTGAACATTTTATAAAATTTTACAATATAAATCCCCCCTCCCCCTTCCCACCCTTCCAGCCCCCCTCCCTCCCCCCTCACTTCCCAGTGCCAATCACAGGGTTAACAATAACATAATCATACTCTAATTAACATTAATCAACTATTAAAATAACATATCTATAACCTCCTTTAACTCTCTTTTAAACAGTACAATTATTAAAAACAATAATAATAACATTTAATAATTAGAAATAATACTAAATAAAATATTCTAACCTTTGCACAACAATAATACTCTAAAATTTACTCAAAAACCAGATGATATTTTTTAGTCCCATATTTACACTCAATATAATCTATCCATCTTCTCCAAACCAAAATATATCTTTCTTGCGAATAATCCTTCACATAAGCGGAAATCTTGGCCATTTCTGCTAAATTCGAGACTTTAAGTGACCATTCTTCTATAGTAGGTAAACGTTCCATTTTCCAATATTGAGCTACTAGTAGTCTTGCAGCAGTTATGAAGTTCAACATCAATTCCATTTCTTTTGCATCCAAGTCTTCCATAATACCCAACAAAAAAAATAATAATCTTCTACAAGTATTTTAGCAGTAGAAATAGCCGGGAGTCTGGATCTCTACCTGTTGCGCTCCAGGCAGGCCTGCGTCACTCAGTATTGGCAGCTGGGAATTACCAATCTTCAGGTGGTTTTTTTTTTGGGGGGGGGGAGAAGGGTGTCTTCTGACTCAAAACGGGCAGCCAGTATGTGGGAGTAGTTCAAATCACCCCACCAACGATGCTCATTGACTCAGGCCATTGTAAAACCCTTCCTGGAATTTATGTTTTCCTTTTAGCAACTGCAGATTCTGGGGAATAACCAGTTCCTGATCCAAGATGTCTGCATCACCCTTGTGGTTTGCCTCACAAGTAAGCAGCTCCGTTCTGGCCTGCTTCGTCCCAGGCCCTTCTCAGTGCCACCTCTGGGCACCGTCACCTCGGCTGTGAGTTTTGGGGAGGTGCCACTCCAGAGCCGCAGAGTCCAGCAGGAGGGGCTGCCCTGCACACCAGTTGCTCCTTCGCACAATGCTGAAAGCTCAAAACGGCCTTCCTGGGTTCCCGTAGCACAATTATTGTGGGCGAGCCGGATCCAGCACGAGCCCTTTTGCTCCTGGGTGGAACAGATGCCGAAGGAACTCCAAGGGTGCCAAGAGATTCCCTGGCAGTCATAAGCTGGACACGCTAACTGCGTTGGCACAAAATACCTAATCAAGCCGAGCATCTTGCCTGAAGCCAACCGCCAGCCTTTGCTTGCAAGGATAAGTGTATTATGCCCAATCCCCAGCTGGCATCATGATCTCAGCCAGCAGAACCCCACCAGGACGAGCAGTGCCAGGGCTCGGTTGCCGGTCTCTCTCTTGGGCACGGGCACCCCCAGGAATGGCTCTGCTTGGGCATCAAGCGGCCGGTTGCCTGCCACTCTGCTTCTCCCTCCCTCCTGCCTGAAGCAACGTTGAGTGGAAGCCCCCCCTCCCCGAGCAAAGGGTGGTGGGATGGAGAAGGGGCTTGCTTTTCCTTGGGGCACCTGGAGATCCTCTGGAACATTCTGCCTCTGTCCTCCCAGTGAACCTGACCCACGCCTACCCCAAACTGGCCCCCTACCGGCCCCCCGGACGGCTGCTCTCTCCACCGCTGCTGCTGTCCGTCCTCTTCAACGTGGTCCTGAGCATCCTGGTCCAGCTCTTCGGCTTCCTGTTCGTGAAGCAGCAGCCTTGGTACTGGCAGCTGCGTGGCCACTGGTGAGTGCGCGCGCGCACACACACACACACACACACA